CCCTGGCCTTGACTCCCTTGGCCCTGGTACCCCTGGCCTTGGACCCCTTGGCCTTGGTACCCCTGGCCTTGGCCATTCCATTGCCTTCCTCTTCCGCCGCCATTCCTGCCTCGGCCCCTTCCTCCACCCCTACCTCCGTTGTCTTGATTGCCTTGCCCCTGATTCCCACCTCCTGCCACACTGCCCTGTGAACTAGGAGCAGGTGACGGCGGCGGGGCCGCAGGTTGGGCCTGGGCTGCGGGGTAGATGGGTGGCGGCATACTTGTTTGCGGTCTGGCTACTGGCGGCGGGTTCCCCCATGGCACAATCGCATTGATCACCGGCCAGGGCCACTGCCCGTAGGAAGGCACCCCACCTAGCGAGGGGCCCGTACTAGATGATGGAGCCGCCACATTTAAAGGGGCTGCTGTCTGGGCCTGAGGTGCCTGCGCTTTTCCTGATCCCTGTCCGCCCTGCGCCAAATTACGCACTTTGCGCTGGACCTTTGTCAGGTGCTGCAGCACCAGCTCCTCCTCTTCCCAGAGCTCCTCCTGAACAGCCTCCTCTATCACTGGCTCCTTTCCTTTCACTTTGACAGCCGTCACCACCCTCCTTTGCACCACCGGCTCTGTCGCATACCCTAGCTGCGCCAATACGTCTGTAACAATCCTTGTTACCCCCGGGGTCCCAGAAGCAGTCGCATCTCTTTCCTTTCTCTTCTGCCTTTGCAGGCGTACCTGACGTTGTTCGACCTGGTCCAAACATCCCACTTCCACCCCTCTATCGATGGTGGCCCAGGTGAGCTTAGTGCTACCTCCTCCATGTCTCGTCAACTCGACGGCCTCCGATGCCGTAAGTAGCCCTAGGAAGATGGCGCAATGTGCCTCCTTTGAAATCCCATGGACCTTTCGCGCCCTCTTCTTAAATTCTTGTACAAAGGCCCCTATCGTCGTAAAATCCTCTTTGTTCATCGCTTCAAGGTCCGCAGTAGTCAACAATCCGTCTCCCAGGCGGTATTTCCTCTGCATCCCCTCCTTGAATCTCTCCCAGCTACCTTGGGCTGCATCTATGACTTTCTTCACCTCTTGGTGGTAGCTCTGAAGGACATACTGAAGGATGCGTTGAAACTTCACAACATCCGACCGCCCGACCAAAGCTTGTTCCACCCGCTCTAGCCATTCTGAAACTCTCTCCCCACAGAAATGGAAAGTATCGACCTTTGGGATGTTGCTCGGGTTCCTTTCATGTCGGTCGATGGCCGCAATGAGGTCATCGAGTGTCAGACCCTTCTTCGGAACAACTGATGCGCCGCTAGTCTCAGGCATCTTGATAGCCTTTTCTTTTTAAGTTCCCTGGCAAAAAGAAAACAAGCACATCCCCTTATTCAAAATTATACTTCGCCTGGTTTATTCSATCCTTCCTACCTAACCCTTGGTACTTACTTTACCTAATGTTAAACACGATCGTCCCTCATACTTCCTCTACTTGGGTAGGTAAATTTCCTCACCTACACTTAGTCATTCATTACCTGCCCTTACCTTCTCATCATTCCTCTATGCCTTTTCTCGTTCACTTCTCATACCCGGATGTCGTTCCACCAGGGACAACGGCAGGCAACCGTTATCCCCGGCAACGGCGCCACCTGTCGGGCGCAATCGATCCGGCACCTCACGGGGCAGCGCGGGACCCTCCCGGCCGCGTCACGCAGGAGTTGGTTTTCAATCCTTCGTCGCAAAAATACATGGAGCTTCCACAAGCCGCTCCGGCCGGGTGCGCCAGCCATACCTCTCGCGTGCCCGTACGACAGGATAGGGCCTACGCGAGGCACGACTTACCTACACCTTACGGGAGCTGTCACCTCCCTTCGGTGGGCGTATCCCTGCCGAGCTACCAGTCCACAGTACGAAAGCTAATCAGCTGCAATCGCAGAGGTGGACCAGCCGAGGGCGTTTCTCGTTCGCTGTAGCATAGGGGGTACGCGCGGTAATACGCCTCTATCGGACCCGCACGCGAACCGACATCTTGGGGAGGCTGAGGTCCCAAGCGCGACTCGTCATCGGTC